TCCAGTCTTTGGAGGCCTAGCGGCCCGTCTCATGTTAGTATTCGGAATCAGCACACTCGATTACCTATTGTTCGCTAAGTTTTAAGCTAGAAGCGATTTATCACTTGGTGTCCTTTCCTCGTTAGTTAAAATAACGTTTCTGGTTTCTCCCTTATGATTAACAATCTTTTTCTTCTTTCTTGTTGTAATAGGCATACTTCATGACTTTGTACACTTTGCATATAATTCCAAAGTGTACACGTGCGCTCTGCGGTATGTTACAAAGCGTATATGTACGTTTTCTGGCAGATTCTCATTAGAAGCCCTGCGTTTTTCCGTACTTTGAGCACAGACACAAAGACAACCATTTCGTCAGGCCCTAGACTAAAGCCAAGGGGAAAAGTATTTTAGAAGAATTTTGTCTTTAGGGCTTGGGTGATTTGATCACCACGATCTAAGTCTTGCTTCTTCTGCTGTCGCTCACTCCACTGAGACGCAAGACATATATAAGAAACTGCAAAAAAAGAAACACTCTCATTTTCGAGCGAGTTCCCTTTGAAATTATACTCTGATTTTTGAGAGCTAGGAAGTGCTTTCAGCTACACTTTGACACTACCTTCTATTCTATGTCACCCGCAAAGCAGGAAGGACAAACCACCGAAGACTTTTCGGGATGTCATTCACGTATGAGCAAGACATATCCGTAAACGTAATCTAGAAAACCAAAACAGATGTTCGAAGATACGTTTAAGGGTATCTGCATTTGTTACTAATAAGAACCAATTTTTGGTTCCGTGGCATCAGAAATACGCGTAAACGTAACCTAGAAAACCAAAAGGTGTTCTAAGATACGGAAATTGGCTCTTATTAGTAACAAATGCCGATACCCTTTTTTGTTTTTGCAGGATACCTTTTTTTTAGAGAGTAAGGGTCTTTAGTCTTGTGCAGAATTCCATTCTCTACATTTTCTCTCATAGGCACCACTGCACAAAAATTGCATTTACTGTTAGAGCAGTGCTTTACAAAACGGAAGGGATTTTTGCACTCTATATGCAAAACGGAAATCCGTTTGGTATAATCCGAAGTGTCTTTACAAAACTGGATCTAAAGGATATCTTGAAAACTCATGGTTCGGGAGCTATGGAAATGGGTACTGAACTTCGTAGAGGTGTGTTATTTGTGTATTACTTATTCGATTGTAATGTAGAGAGGAATAAAAGAAGAATACCGTGTTTGAATGTGATTTATATTCATTTTTAGTGATTTTAACCGTATTTCCTTTTTGGTCAGGTTGCCACAACATATAATGAGCATAGCTCGATCTACTGTTTTAATAAATCTACTTTAAACCAACAATAAATATTATATTAATCAGGGAGATGCCGATACAAACTCATACTTAAATTTCGAAGAATTTGGGTCAATGATATCATGCGGAACTGGTATTCTCATGGCGGCAGCCTTAAATTTTCCAACTTATGAGAAACATGTCATGTGAACAGAAAATCTTTTTCGAATACATTATTTGAATCAAAAATACATTATTTTCTTTAGGAATACTTAGGATACGATTAGATAAAATCGAAAATGTTCCTAGATTTTTAATAAAACAATAATTATATATGGGAACTGATCTTCCACAGCTGTCGACAATATCATGAAGGTGGAGCGCAGATGAGGTTTAGAACTAAAATCTGTTGTCGTTGGGAATTAAATCTGCTGGGTCACAACTCTATCATAAAACGTGATGGAGAGCTGGGAGACATCCCATTTTGTAGAGAAATCTTTAATCTACAAGACTGACTGTTCCACAAGTTTGTCAAGTACTGAATGGAAGAGAAAAGGTTTCGAAAGTAAAAACAAATAGGGTTTTTTAAGCGTAAAGTAACAAGTTTTAACAAATTCGAGTCTCGTCAACAGGAGGTCTTTGAGCGCTGAGAGCGATCTTCTTGTGTATAGGACACGTTATTCAGTGCATGTATTTTGAGTAAAACTGATTATCGGTCTGTTTTATAAAGAGGAAACAAACTGACAGTGTACTTTCTTTGGTGTTAAAATTTTGGTCAAAATAGCAAACATATGAAAAACTATTCGCTTTTAAAATGTTTACTAGTTATCATTATGGTGCGATGTCGACAGACCCTGGTCATATTAACAGAGACAGAGAAATCATTAAAAATTGAAATTAAAAATCTCTACTCAACATTCAAATGTCTTACTGTTTTATTTATAAAGAACAAAGGATAAAACTAGATTACAATTGTGCTGCGGACAAGTTGCGATAACGACAGTCTCCGTCTCTGACTGAGCCTACTGCTCCAAGCACATCCTGTCAGTAGGCTGTGACATTGCATTTGTTGCTTTGTTTTACTCAGTATATATATTGTATATATATATATTTATATATATTGCGTAAATCAAATAAATTTAGATATATTTACTAGATATTTCGCCTTAAGAACAAATGGCGCCGCACAAGCAACTCTTATAAATACATGAAAAGTTTCAAGTCCAAAAAACATTTTACTTATACTTGTGTAGCTTATGGCGCTGAATCTGGACTTAGTTTTCAAAAAAAGAACGTGATTTGATCATTCTCCAATGTCGAGACATTATCTTCCAGTTTTAAGAAGTTTTCTACCTAGCGTAGTTCGCTAAATCACGTCGTGCACATTCTGTAAAAAAGTTGACTAAACAAAAAAGTCAAATCGAATCAAATCCCTGCAAAAACACATAATGTCTATCGATTTTAACAAAATAACACCTCAGGTTATTACTTTTTATTTTGCTTGTCTTCATCGTCAGTATCTCGTTAACCCCTAGATTGTACATGATGTATTTTTCTCTCAAAAAGGCATTTTCTTCTTCATCACCAAAATATTTATTCTTCTCTCGCTTTTTCCAAAAAATATATTTGTTCTCTTTCAGTAATCACAAAAATATTTCTGTCTCATTTGACAGAAATGCCTATTCTTCTCTCACTGTTACATTCTAAAAAACGAAATGCGACTTCAGCGATGTGTCTGCCGAGAAAAAGTGTCTTGTATGTGACTAGATTGCGTCTTCAAAATAATAAGTGTCTTCTATATGTCTACTGATAGGCATTTAGAAGTCACGTTGGAGTCGCATAGAAGACGTGTGAACGAGAAAGACGCTTAGTAGTCACATCATCCAGCCTTCCATGTGTCTCTAAGTTTTTAGAAGAGAAGAAGAATAGAGAAAGACTCGAACGAAAGGAAAACTCTACTTTTTGAAAAGTAAAGTGAAAAGAAAAATAGGTTTCAATTTTTTGAGAAAAGTAACGAAATTATGTCCGTTTACGATTCATTTTTCGTGTAGGGCGAAAACGGAAATTAATTCTTCGATCGCAAAGCTAAGAAAGAAATGGAACAAATATGGCTAATATGCATGCTCTCAAGTAGCCTCAACAGCTCGAAGAGAGCGAAACACAATAACAATAATAATAACTCGGTTTTGAGGGCTTTTCGCAAAAATTGAATATCTCAGCAACACGATAATTTTAGGATCTGCGGTTTTTGCCAAAGCTCATAAAACTGGTTGCTCTAAAGAAGCCCCCTACTTTGAAAGAAATCTGAGATGGTCTACTGAGCAGTTTTATACGGTAATACGTCGTTCCTTCTCTTAATGACTCTTATAGAACAGATGGGCTGTAGCTGAGCTACAGTTGACAAAAGTTTAACTAAATAGAAAAATGATATTAGCTTCGTTTTGAAGGTAAACGCCCATGCACCACCGACGTTCGAATGGACCAATGTCAAATAAACATGAGTCATTTTGCAAACCTATCTAGGTTTTTCTGTGAAATGATGGAACTAATTTCCCTATACTATTCAATGCGCCTTAACTTCAGCTTTGAAAGTACGCATCACTTTTTTCGAAATTTTTTTCCTCCCTAAGAAAATTTGTTTTTTCTAAATCCAACCTGTAAAAGTCAAAATTTTACTGGAAGTTCAAATTGCCGGCACCTTACACAAATAAAAAATTTGGGAACTATCAGCATCTGACTATTTGAACAAATGTAACTAAAAATCATAAGAAACCTATGTGGTAACCTGAGCCAGTCAGAAAATAATAGAAACTTCGCGTCACCATATACATCAATACGCAGTATGATCGTCCACTAGTGGCGTATCCAGAGTAGGGCTAGAGGGGCTCAGCCCCCTCTACAAACGGTTTATCTCTGCTTAGAAAAGGCTCGAGCTCACTCCAGACGTATGGTTAGAGCGCCCTCTACAACTTTTTTCTGGCGATGCCACTATCGTCCACTGCATATCGAAATGAATTCCCAGCGAATGCGAATCCATTTTTTAGAACATCAAATTCTCGGCGAATGTATTGTGCAAGCTATGATTTTGGACGTGGTCTTGACTTGGACTCTGATATAGTTGGACTTGCTCACCTCTGCTTTTAGGCTAAAAAGTGTTCACTTCAAATTGTTCTCTGCAAACTGATAAAACAATCTAGAGAGGAGATTTTTGTTGAACTGGACAACACCCAAAGACGAGAAAAAACATGAACAATCCCTCTTATCTGGACGGAAATCGACACAAAAGAAAAGGAATAAAGAATTTAGACTCCGAAGGAGTTTTCCACTTGCGAGGATCTCCCGCGTTCCGTACACCTCTGCTAGCTACCATCTCGTCCGACATCCGGGACTGACAGCAGTTGTAGTATAATGTTTTCAACGCATATTTATTAGATTCATTTCTAAAAATACAACTTCCCTTCACTACATATGTTTGTTGATATACTATGTGTGTTTATTGCGGAACCACTCTGTAATTCACAAAGGCGACATAGGGTCCAATGGTTTCGGCTTCTTGTAATTTTAATATAACTTGATAATTTGTATCGGAATATTGAATAATCGTCTCATCTTTCGATGTTATTTCTGTTTCTTGACCGTCGTGTACACGATAGATATGTTGAATATATTCACCAAGCCTATTATCCAAATAGAGTGTAAACGGTTTTCGTTGTTGCGTGTAGTGAGTTCCAATCGTTACGGTCAAATTGTTCATTGGATAGGCCCAGTTGAATTGAACTTTGTTGCATGACACATATTTCGTTTGACCAATATCCAATGCTGAATTTGAGCACGCACGATCAGTTTGGATTATACCTTGGCATGGGTCCGTTCCTGAATCCCACACCTGAGCGGTACAGACTTCCTTTAATGCCGAACCGTTGTCAAATACAACAAATAACAAGAGAAAGAAATATGTTGATGACATTGTGTAGTTAGTTGGTAACACGAAACAATGCAGTTTGTTTTCGACTTTATAATAAGAAAAATATGTTGCCCTCGTAATGATGATCACTTTTTAAGCTTTTAAGTTATCATGGTTTTTTCTTGCCGATATATTCTTCATTCGACCTTGATGTGTACTTTGTGAGGAATAGCTTTATCATTCAATATCAGCGATTTAAAACAAAACTAAAATTATTTCTTTGTAATTGTGATGATTATAGGAACACCATATCAACACATGCTAAGCAGGGCGGCGACAGAAAATAGCATTTCTGTGCAGACTATGGTTTGAATGTGTGAAAACTATGGTTTAAATTTATTGCATCAACGAACGTTTCAAGCCTGCAAATCTTCTGCAACTGGTAAAGTACAACCGAGGCACCCAAAGCGTTTTGCAAAAAAATAGAAATACGATTCTGTAAAAAACCGAAGCGGTTTTTGAATTATTATATGTGTTTAATAAACCACTTTCGATTTTGGGATGAAAAGTAAAATGCTTTTTGATTTTGTAAGATATATATTTTATTTCAACTTTTATCACTGAAGAAGGTCTCAATAAAAGAGGTCCAAACGTTTGTTATTGAAATCAATTTACAGAATTAAAGTATCTGTTGTAATTCTAATAATATCTCTATTTCGAATCAGCCAATTCTAAATTTCAATATGTTTGTAAGATACGTTTTTTTAGAGTGTGGTTGTGGCTTATCTTTAGAAATAAAAGCATAGCGACGATAAAAGTAATGCTGCTGAAGTTAAAAGTTTCAGCACTTCACGAGGTTTAGCAACTGTTTTTATTCACGAGCATGTCTGTTCGAATATCTGGTTTCCACATATCTCGGAGATCATTGTCATTAGTGATGGACCACCTGGAAGTACACTTATTCCCATAAGGACTTTTTGAGCAGCTATCGGGCGATCTAGCTCGATATTAGAAGAAAGAATCGGTAATATTACGAGAAATATCCTGTTTATCGCGACAACTTCACTATCGAGATCGCTAGGTAGCATCTCGATAAAATCTATCTATCAGTCTTCCTCAGGATAAATTAGATAATGAAAAGGAATAACTGAAACTGGAAAGTCATAAGGAGGATAATATCATTAAAAATAATAAAATCGGCGTAGCTTGATTCAGTTAGAATCGGATATCGAAAAAATGTAAAATCTGTTTATATTTCTACTACGTGGAAAACACGATTTTTCGATTACGTTATCCAGACGAATATAACAACTAAGATTGTCATCAAAATTTTCATACGTTACATTCGACGTTTCGTAAATGCTTTGACTTTACACACACTTGTAATGCCCCCGCGATGGAAGCCTGTTTAACGTTTAAATAGAATAATTTATTGCACTCGATTGTTTGTCGTATAGATCCAATATATAGTTTTTCAACTAGGTCGTACACGATCAATGAATCATTAATTCCAGCGCGGCTTGAAAATATAGGTGTCGTAAAACGTGTTGATCCAACATAATCTACTGAATCAGCTAGACAATACCATCTTGTCAAAACTTACTTGAAACTTCGCTATTCTATCGCAATAATATCTCAAATTTGGAAATTTACTTACGGCGGACAGCCGTCAAGAAAATCGATTTATTCTTTTTTTGCCCGTGTAAGGACGAAACGACTGCAGTGTAAATTAAGGCGTCATTTAGTAACAGAAAAAACTAGATAGGTTTTCGAAATTTGTTCGCGTACTTTAACGGATCCTCGAAAATGAATTTCTACGCTGGCCATATGATTATGGATCAAGCTCTGACTAGCATTTTTAGAGTCAGGTTTACAAGCTGAATCAGAAAAAAATAAGTTTTGAAGCTCCGAAATGAAATGAAGCAAAAGATTTTTATGCTTTTCTCAGCAGTACGGACTGTCGAAATTTACTACCATTTTACTATTTTCAAAGTTTTTTGCACCAAAAAGAGAGGTGTTATAATTCAGTTACAGTCTGTATCGTCGTTTGTTGGCCTATTTGGAATTTCTACGAATTACGAGAATTATCAGAATTATGGGAATTAATTATCGGAAACGCTCGACTGTTCCGACCTCTCATCGTCAACCGCCCCACACACTGCTCTCACTCGTCACCAAACTTAAGGTCAACTTAAATTTCTAGGTCTAGCGCACTTTATAGTATGAACCAATTATCGTTAAGTTGAGCATAGACAGACATTAATGCATGGTCTTTCCTACTCTCGTTACTAAACTCTCCTCATCTGCTGTTCTCTTCTATATGAATTGAAGTAAAATTCGTCTTTGTGAATCAGTACATAACCCTTTTACTTATACTCTTTGTCTTCTTGAATTATGGCAACCCATTACTGAGCAGCTATGGTTTTTCCGATGAACAAAGACACTTAACAAAACGTTTAAGTAGGAAGAACTGGGCTCTCATGAACCTGAGTTATCCATTTAGATGTATATCCCATGTTTAATATCTCTCGAAAGTTGCCCAAAAATGGGTCACGTTTTGCTGTATTTATTATGATAATATCTTTTTCTACATTTCCTAACTGGCTTTAGTTTCCCCTAGAATATTTACTGTTACGGATGGCTTTTCTTTTTCTCCAGCTGATAAAATATGTTACGACTTATTGATAAAGTATTGTTTCAAAGTACATTATGCAACTACGCTTTCCTTTTTCGAACTCACCATCGCAGTGCTTTGAAAAAACTCACTCCTTAAAGGGTGAGCCAGAAGTCCTGACTCGATTTGAATAATAAATTTTTCCACAGTGAAACAAACTATGAACGCTCTACAAAATGACGATTGATTGACCCCGTTAGCTCATCTAGTAAGAAACTTATAGGCTTAGAAATGTTCTTCACAAAAAAGAAAAGTTAACCGTGAATCCGGTCTCAGTATTTTTCCTTTAACTCCTGTTCCTTAGGTCCCCTAGAACAAATTCTTTTTTTAACAAAAGCGTCGTGAAATTTTCTACAAAATC